TTTTGTAAGTGTTTTCTGTTTATGAGTCAGGTTGTCATTTTTATTATTTTTGTTTAGTTTTAATTCTCTCAAAACTTCTCTACTCAGCGTTTATGCAGCTTCATCTTTTTTTTTTTATTCAAGTTTTAGAGCAGATGACTCAGTTATTGAGATGATGTCAAGATACGGAAGAGATTAGGACATTAGGAAATAAAACAGAACAATAAAACAGAACGATCTGCATTAGCTACACACATGAAAGATAGTGACAACAAATTAATTGGGACAGTTGCAGAACTCTAAATTAGTCATTGATATTGCGGTTTTTTTAAAAAACAATTTTAATGTATTTCCGCAATAATTTTATTGCTTTGACATTTTGACGATAATAAAATGTAGCTTAATTGTCAAGGTAGCAAAATTGTAGTCGAAAGATTCTTTTTTTAAATTAAAAGTCTCCTTCAACTATGATATAAGGATATATATATATATATATATATATATATATATATATATATATATATATATATATATATATATATATATATATATATATATATATATATATATATATATATATATATTAGGGTGTCCCAAAAAACAACATTTTTGAATATAATCTGCTCTCACCCCCTAAATGTGTTCTATCTAATACAAAAACACTAGGTTTTAATTTTTTTTGAATAAAAAATATTTTAAGGGGTCCCTCAAGACCCTCGAATATTTAATGGGTCCCTAATATTTTCGAAAAAAAAATTTTTCAAAAATGTCAACTTGGTACTCAAATGAAGCGAAATTATATAAATATTTCAAAAATAATAATCATTTCGAAATATCTTTAACTTATTTATCAAAATTATCATAAAAAAACATAAAAAATGCATTTTTTTCATTTTTTCTTAAAAAACGCAATTTTTTATGTATTAAAACTAAAAATTACAATTTTGTTTCGAAATGAATATTATTTTTAAAATTTTTATATAATTTCGCTTCATTTGAGTACCAGGTTGACATATTTTTGAAAAACTTTTTTTTCTAAAATATTAGGGACCCATTAAATATTCAAGGGTCTTGAGGGACCCCTTAAAATATTTTTTATTCAAAAAAAATTTAAACCTAGTGTTTTTGCATTAGATAGAACACATTTAGGGGGTGAGAGCAGATTTTTTTCAAAAATGTTGTTTTTTGGGACACCCTAATATATATATATATATATATATATATATATATATATATATATATATATATATATATATATATATATATATATGTATATATATATATATATATATATATATATATATATATATATATCTTACATTTCTTAAATGATTATTTCGTAAATTTCTAATTGCGGCCTTGCAACTAAAAATGATTTTTTATATAAAAAAAATTACAGAATAATAATAATTAATAATTAAAAAAATTATATATTTATTTACTTTATTTATTAAAAGTTTATTAGTTTATTATTTTGTTTTTAAAATTATATCACTGTATTATATATTGTTTACTAAAATAATCGTTACGATTTAACTTGCATTATTAAAAAAAAGTTTAACTTAAGTTTTGTATAAATTTTTGATGCAGCTGTTTATTTAAAAGTTATTTTTGAGTAAAAAAAATGTTTATAAAAATAAACCGAAAAAACAATTGTGATAAAAAGAACTAATTTTTTAAGAATAAATAAAATTTAAATATTAAACAAGTTTATTTAAAAATATTTATTAATGTTTTTAAATAAATTTGACAGTTAAGTTAAACCCAAGCATTAACTTTAGTTTTAATAAACTTATATTTTTTAAATCAAAATTAAATAATTTTTTTAAAAATTTAAATTAAATTATATATATTTTTTCTCAGAATAAAATTAAATATTTTTGTTATATTAGTTTTAAATTAAATCATATATTTTTTATCAGAAATAAATTATGTTTTTATGATCTTTGCTTCAAGCTTAAAAAATCAATCATTACAGTAAAATGAAAACGAAATAAAAATAAACTTTTAATTTTATTTGAGTTTTTTTTATTAGTAAATAGCGCTCAGCGCTCGAAATAATTGCCGATCAACGGTCGTCTACTTTTGGAAAAAATGATATTTTGATCTCCTAAAATCAATTCTAGATGATCAAATTTGATCAACAAGAATTGCACTCAAACTTTATATTAAAAAATTCAAAAACATTCTAAAACAAACTTTACAAAAAACTTTATAAAGATAAAAGTAAAACATTGACACAAAAACGTTTAAAGTAAAATGTCGGTTAAAAAGGTATTACAAAATTTATAAAAATAAAAAGCTTATATAAATAAAAAGTTTATTACCCATTAACAAACTATTTTGATTGAGTTGAATTTTTTTTAATGAATTGAATTTAAAAACAATAACCTTTTACGTGAAAATTTTTGAAAACTAGTAAATAACGCGAGTTTATGATTGGTAGAAAGAATGTTGACTTCATAAAACATCATAATACTTTAAGCAAAATAAAATTGTTTTTGTTTAAAATTTTTAAAAAATAAGTTTAAAAAGTAAAATTATATAAAAAGTATAAAAATAATCATAAAATGGAAGCGGGAAAAAGCAACAGAAAATTATTTCTTTTAAAAAGAAATTAGGATCTGAAACACCCGCTAAGAATAGTTAATAATTCTAATAATTCTTAAAAAAAATAAGTGTTGTTACAAAAACAACACTTTTTAAGCAAAAGAAGTTTTGTTACCAAAACAACACCTCTTAAACAAAAGAAGTGTTGTTACCAATAACAACACTTTTTACGCAAAAGAAGTGTTGTTATCAAAACAACACCTCTTAAGCAAAAGAAGTGTTGTTACCGAAACAACAATTTTTAATCAAAAGAAGTGCTGTTACCAAAGTATGTTGTTAAGAAGTGCTGTTTTTTGCTTATGGAATGGTAGAAATCAGCAATATCAAAAATTAGAAATTTATAAATAATATAAATTATAAAAGTTTATACCACTCATGGAATTAAACCAGGTTGTAGCAACTTGGGTTTTTTACAGCTAAATACAATAAAGTATGTTCACAATTTCATAGTTTATTTTGGAAAGTATAATCATACTAATTCTGCAAATTTTATTTTTGGAAAGGTTTAATAAACATACAGTTCAATTGTTGGTAAAGTTTTGTATATGATCTTCTTATTATATTATATTATTACATTATAAAACAATTAGAAGATGTTTTAACATCTATTTTATTAGCATTCTCATTCTGAAAAATCTTTACCTTATTTATGTATTTCATTTTTGATTTTTGCATTTGGTTTTTTTTAAGTTAAGGTAATAGCATTCATTAATAATAATTTAATAGTAATTTGATTAATTATATAAATTAGATGTTTTACCAAGTGTAAATTGACAATTGTGTATAGTCATCTTTTATCCTATCCAATACACTCATTATTATATTATATATTCAATATCTTATATTATATATCCGATATCTCATTATTATATTATATATCCAATATATCATTATTTCGAATCTCTGCCTATGATCATTGCTCCTTTTCTTATCTTTTAAAGTCACACCACACATCCTTCTAATTATTTTATTTTCTTGCACGACGCTGGTATTTAACTTTCCTTTAATGATATAATACTTATTGTTAAAAGTGGAGATAAACTTGGCCTAGATGCACTTTACTCTTGCTATTATTGCCTCATCTGCTCCACTAACTGTATCTTTAAGATAACAAAACAATCCATCACTATTTATTTTATCTCTTTCTTGTTTATCAAAAGTATATTTTTTACATATGAGAACCATCTTATATATCACTGCATATTTTGTGAACCAATTGTGTACACTATGTACAAACAAGAGTTTGACTCCTTTTCTACACACTTCACTTAACCACTTTCCAGTATTTTCTAGTTGCTTGTTCTTGGCTTCACAATGCGTAACCTTGGTTTCAGTTATATTTGTCCTTTTGCTTTTGCTTCTATACCTTCCTTCCAACAATGAAAATTATCATTATTTTTTTCTCTGCAATCAAACAAACTCTATATAAATAAAGCAGCTCCAATGACAACCAACTCTTATCCTTTTGAAGAGGGCTTCCCAATCAATAATTAACCATAATAAAAAGGAAAGGACTTTTAAACAATGATAAAGAGCATAGGAATGATGCAATTTTTTACTTCAAAATTATCACACTCTTTAACTTTTGTTTTAGTTACAGATGTTACATTATCATACATTATCATACATTATCATACATTACCACTCTACTTCTCTTGGTACTCTGTCAAAAGTTTTTTCAAATGCTCTTTTTACCAAAGTTCTTTTTTATTTTCAAAAATCTTTTTTCAACTATTATTGCATCACTTCTTCCATTTCCTGAGCTTAAACCAAACTGAATGTTATTAATAAATACACTGCTTCTTGTTATGTTGAAAATAACTCTTTCTGAATTTCTTAATTACCCAAGTTTTCTTCCAATTATTTGAGTTACTACTTTTCTAAACAATTTTTGCTTTGTAAACCTGTTACATACCCACATCTCCTAAAGTCTAATAAATTAATAAACTTTTTATTATTTTTTTTGTTAACAATAAAAAAAAAAAGAAATTAAACAATAGTAAGTATTAGAGATTGTTATTTTTTAGATTTCATAACATGTTATCGTGTTAGAACTATTACTTTTATTTTTAGATTTCATTATTAACATGTTATTGTGTTAGAACTATTATTTTTAGATTTCATTATTAACATGTTATTGTGTTAGAACTATTATTTTTATTATTAGGTTTTTAGATTTCATTATTAACATGTTATCGTGTTAGAACTATTACTTTTAGATTTCATTTTTAACATGTTATGGTGTTAGAACTATTACTTTTAGATTTCATTATTAACATGTTATCGTGTTAGAACTATTATTTTTATTTTTAGATTTCATTATTAACATGTTATCATGTTAGAACTATTACCTTTAGATTTCATTATTAACATGTTATCATGTTAGAACTGTTATTTTATTTTTTTTTTAGAAAAATTGCATTTGTGTATTGAACACCTTCAAGATATATTGGGTGAAACATATGATGAAGATTTAATAGCTAAAGTAGTCATTAATCAAAATTTTGATATGAAACAAGCTTTGAATCAATTACTCAACAAAGGTATCTAATTTTAATTAAGAAAATTAATTGACACATTTTATAATATAGTAATGCTAACTATTTATTTACCTGCTACCAACATTTCTGTTTGAGCTGAGTTTTAATATTAAGTTTAAGTTGATAAATTTAATTAAAAGTTTAACAACAAATTAAAAAACTTGTTTATAAAAAAGGTTTTTCATGCTTTATTTAAATGAACTTAAATTCATGAGAAAAAAATAATTAAGCAAGCAATAAAAATGACCCTAAGAATCCGATTCTTAAGAAATTATATTTCTGCTCTTTTAGTTGGTAACTTTACTATATCTACTCATATTTCTATTGAGGTAGTTCCTCAAGCTTTGGTTATGGTATTCAGATCCAATTTTTTGCTTTTTTTTTTTTACTCACATCCAATCATAAATTATACAAGAAAATCTTTGATAAAAAATTTTCGTCATTTTATATCAGTCAGTCAATGACATCAAATGGATATAATAGTTGATCTTTTTTACCCAGTGATAATATTTCTTCAGGTTCTCCTGTCTTTAATTATTGTTTTTCTAAAGTTTATACTAATTTAGTATTTTATAAATTTTGTAATTTTTTCATCTTTATTCATCTTCATTATAATTACTTGACAAAAGTACACAATAGTTACTAAATATTGCTAAAAACCACAAAATGTGCAAATCAGTTGTCAAAATTCATCAAAATTGAAACTTAATTATCTCAATTGGATACTCAAACATTCAGGTCTTTTTTAGATATTCACAAGCCCTTTAAGATATGTGAAATCTTGCTCAAAACAATGGTGGCATTTAAAAAAAAAAATACTTATTCTATATGAAATTAATCTAATTTTATTATGTTATATAATATATGTTATAGTTTGCTATAAATTATAATATAAGTTATAATATACAAGATATGTTATAATATATAGTTGAAATAGATTTTACATTTATCAAATACTTAGGTTGGTAGTATAGTTTGTAGAATCCTTAATAATGTCCATGATACAAAGTTAAATACAGATTTGCATATTTTGAAGCCATTTTTCAAATACTATATACCCATTTTTGTGTATACTTATAAATAATCTGTTTATGTTATTATTTGATGTGAGTGCTATGAAATTTTTCTGTTAAGTTGAATAGCTAAAACTAAATTAGAAGTTAGGCAAGTATTGTAATTCAAGAGAATCATAAAGAAATTTGAAAAAGTTTTGTTTTGCTTATTAACTTGACTCAAAGCAGAGTAGGACACAGATAGGATTCAGATAGGACTAAGTACACTATTTAATAGTCTAAGCAATTTTAAGTTTAATTATTAATATTTTAAGTTATATAACTTACCCTAAATTTTATATTTTACCAATAAGTATTCAATCATCGAACCACCAGATATGCCAAAGGTGGTACTGTGTAATAACAAATATAAATGATATTTGTATAAGAGTATATTTAACAACATATTTTTTTAAATTCTCATCACATTTTTTTACATATTCACAAAATTCAGATCATTATTTACAAATATATTAAAAATATTATGTAAAATTTGTATTACTTATCTACTTATTATCAAAACTTTTGTACTCTTTTTTTTTTTACTTTTTTATTTTAATAAAGTTGATAAAAAATATTTTCAGAAAATACCAGTCAAATATAAAGATCGTTGTTTAAATGACAATAATTATAAACAATGGGTACAAAAATGCCCCAATGATTTGTATTTTGTAATATATAAAGTATGTTATAAAAGTTATATCTGTTGGTCTGGGTACAAAGACATTAGAAAAACATAATAGTGTTACCAAACATGAACAATGTATGTCTAATGTATAAATATTCAAATGTAAAATTCAGTAGTTTTTAGCTACAATGTGCAAACATGGTTGAAAAATGTGCTGAACTCAAATTTCAGATAATTATTATGTTTATCATCTTTATACATGGCGGAGGAGTTTTAATTTGATAACTTTAATTTGATAAGTTTTTGTTGAAGTTTATTGCATATAAAAAGTTATAATTGTCAGCTGCTGATTAAGCCAAATTGCAGTTTTCACAATTTATAACTACTGCTGTACGAGAGAACAGAAATTTTTTGAATTTAAAAAAGAGATTGTAATCTTTGTTGGTTAAATATGCAGATGTCTCACAGTTTCAGGGTTTTCAGATTCAAGGAAAATTTTCCAATTGTTGTTAATATTGTCTTATGGCCAAGCACAAGCAGAGTGTGGATTTAGTCTAAATGACCAACTTCTGGATAATAATATTTTATCTTTTATGCATAAAGAATTGTGCATGAGCATATGTGCATTGAAAACTTAAAACAATACAAATTGGTTATGAGAAATAAACAGATAGGATATGTCAAAGATACAGGAAAACTATTCTGTAGCAAAAAGCAAAAGTTTCCTGAAGCCTCAAAGATTAACTGTGATACTAAATAATTTCAAGCTAATAAATATTTTAATAACTAATAATAACTGTGATACTAAGCTGATAATAACTGTGATACTAAGCTAATAATAACTGTGATACTAAGCTAATAAATATTTTTAAGTAGATTAATAGTTTTAATGAACAAATTCACACTCCTAAATGTACATGAACGCTTCAGCTTCAGATGCAGATGAGTTTGCAAGTGGAAAAGCAGATATTATTGAAAGAAATTTAAAATTGACACCTGTACCATAAAATTTTCGACTGGTTTTAAACTGCCTTATTTTTTTTTTTTTTTTTTTATTTTTTTATAACAAAGTATAGGCTTTTTAAAGCATTTTAAAAGTCTATTTTTTGTTAAAGCTATGTTTTTTAAGCCTTTGAAAATGACACACCTCTTCGATGGTTAAAATTTTTTTATTAATTTGATGTTGTTGTGTATTAAATGTAGGCCTTCTACCACTTCCAGGTTTCTAACTCTATGGTTTATTTTGATTGGAATGGTTCATTTTGATTGTAACTGTTCATAACTGTTCAAAATGACATACTTTCCATCTTCATGCTTTTTTGATCAAAATTATACACACCACTTTTGCGCACCACTTTCTGAGGCTTTCTGAATTGACATTTTAAATTTTAAACAAAAATAAATAAATAAGTTCACCAGACCTTGTTCTTTGTTTTAAACAGTATAATAAAAACAATTTATATACTACTTGTAAAGGAAAGGAAAGATAGAGCTTTAATTTGATATTAAATACTAATTATTTTATCAAACTTACTTATGAATTATTGTTAATTAAAGCTAGTCTCAGGCACAGGTGTTAGTTATTAAGTCAACAATTTTGAAATTCAAATTTATAATGCATTTATCAAATGGATTAGTCTCAAGTTATTTTTTTTATATGTTTATCAGTTTGTTTTAAAGTTTAAATTGTTTTAATCTTAAAATAACATTCTTACACTTTTTTAAAATGTTTTTTAATAAAACTAAAAAACTAAAAATTGTTTTAGTGTAGTTTTATAAAATCATTCTAAAATCTCCAAAAAGTTTATATTTTTAAGTTTACCAGTATTTTATTAAATATTACTTGTAAACTCTTTTAAATTATCCTAAATTATCCTAATTTTTTCTAACAAAAAAGTGAGCCCACTCTGCATACTACATTACTTAAAATTTCATTTTTGCCGACCTAAGCCAGATAGTGTCCATCTTGTCTCTAATAAAATCACGTCTTATTCTAATATGATAATACTTAATCTTAATGGGTCGTTTATGAATAAGGAATACTTGCTCTTTCAATTTTATTTTCAAATTTGTTTGTTATTCAATGAGGTGCTAGTTTTTTTTGAAGAGCATAACAAACAAGTTTATTGAATGTAAAAGTGTTAATGTTAACTAAAGTTTAATTAATTTTTCTATTTATATTGTTTGTTGTGCAAAGGTTTAATTGTCAGGTCAGGTTATCCTGCTAATGATAACATGTAACCCAGTACAACCTGCTTCATGTCCTGCTGTCTTGTAGGATACATTTTTTAAGGCAAAGGCTAGTAGAAGACAACTCTGAATTAAAACATTCTTGTCTCTTGGTTGAGGAAAGGCTAGAGATAGTGTCTTGATAAAAATACTCATCTTGGACAGATGTTAAGTGCATCTTGTTATTGTCTTGTAGAAAGCCTCCTAGGCAAAGACTTAAGTGGTAAACAGATTCTAACTGTTGACCAGCCTTGCACCTCTTCTTCATCTATTAGGCTGGTGTAGATGTATTAATAATACATTGTTTCTGGTTTAGGATGTTAAATGCTGTATCTTCTTGACTCATGCATGGGTTTTGCTTGTGTGTCTGTTTTTATGACTAGGTAACTCATTCTACTAACTCCTAATGAGGGTACAGCTCTAAAACTCAGTTTTATAGTTATGAGGCTGGCTGGTAGTCTTGTCCTGAATTCTGTGGTAGCTCTCAGAGAGGCTGATTCCATTAACAGTTATAAAATATCAGAGGACTAACAGTGTCATGTTGTGCATGGATGGTGTACTTTTCATGTGCATTGTCAAGGCCACATTTGGAGCCCTTAGTTATGGCTTTTTTTTTTTTATTTGCATTCACTCCCAACAAGGCTGCAAGCAACCACTATTAAGTTGGGAGTTACTAGGAAAAAAAAGAACAGAGTTATAGAGCAAGGAAACGGTTGACAGAAGACTTGAAAAGTTGAAGGTTGTATGAGTCAGGAAAACATGAAGATGGGAAAGAGTTCCAAAGGATTGAAGTGCGGGGAAAAAAACTAGATGAATAAAAGTTTTTAGAGCATGCAGGGACAGATACAGTAAACGAATGAGACTTAGCTGAATGACGAGTAAAACGAGAATGAATTTTAGTTGATGGAACTAGAGATGATAACTCCTTTGAGAAGTGACCATGATAGTATTTGTAGAAAAGAGAAAGAGATGCAACTTTACGACGATGGGAAAGAGGTTCAAGCTTAGCAGATAGTCCAGGTCCAACAACATTTACAATGCGATTTTGGACCTTGTCAAGAAGAGAAAGTGAATCGTTAGAAGAACCAGCCCAA